ATTTTATGAACTAAGAAGACATAATATTTGTTATGTACTGGATACAGTTTTAGCGGCCCGAGGTTGTGGGATGGGAGTGCTTGTGAGGGTGAATAAGCTGTACGCCCTAGTGCAGCAATAGCCGTATCCAGTCCGTAAATGTTTTATCATATACATAATGTACCTTATAGGTGTAATTACAATTTTACCACAACGTAATTTAGAATGATGCATTTTGTTTTGATTGATGAAAGCTGAACGCCCTGACGAGGATGCATGAGTTGCGCCCTCTGCAGTGTTCCAAACCCAACACACCCTGAGAAAGAGATGTAGTTTTTCACTTCCCCCTACGATTTTGTGTCAGTACCAATCAAATCGCAGGTGTGTCAGATAGTGACAGCCATCAAAGAATAACCATTCACGGCAGAGTTCATTTGTTCGTTGACATAAAGTGTGATGAGGTGCTGGCAAATTTTCGCCTAATATTTATCATCTTGTTGAAAACAGTCTGTGACTTTTGCCGTCAATGCAAATATGGCTTTGATTGACGGTGTTACCATGACCACCAAAATGAATATTCATTGAAATTCATTGCAAGAAGGCGTGAACTTTGCGAATTGGCAGTATTGATCGTGCCGACGAGACATACACTATTCTAACAGGCGTTAGTGAAGTCTGATGCCGTTCGGCCGGCGAGGGCGCTACTCACGCCTACATGTCAGTCTAGAATTTGGCTTGAACCTCCCTAAATGAAATGCCTTTTTGAACTTGTGTCATCTTTGGCATTCAAATGTTCATGTTATTAATAGTAGATTTTGTTTGTATGATTTCAGGGCATCATGCTTGTTTATGACATCACAAATGAGAAATCTTTTGATAACATCAAGAAGTGGATCAGAAACATTGAAGAGGTGAGTAACAGCTACAAGTGCATAAATCACACCAAAGTAACAGACTCCCTCTAGAGGTCACATTGAGAGAATTGCTCACTGTCCCATTCCTCCATTGTATTACCATATACATGGATTTTAAGATTCCTAAAAATGTTAACTATGAGTTAAATTTGTGATACATGGTGCATTGGCTCAGACCTGAACTGTGCCATTTACTGATTAAATTAAAAAACGAGAAAGTCTGGTGGTAAAAAGGTTTTTAATACCAGTCTTTGTTGCCTAATTCATTCTGCACTTTTTTTGTATATTCTTCATTATTTCTGGAAACAAACCCTAATTTTGAAGCCAACAGACAAAGTTTGAGTAAATTTTCTGTTTTTACTCAAAAAATTTGGCTATTTTTGTCCCAATTTTCTGAAGGAAAGTACTGACTATAGATGGGACTATTTTGTGAATTTCTGCATAAATTACGGTTGTGGTATCATTGCTTTAAAGTTGTATTGTTGAATCGGTATTCATGGCTCTTGATGTTGATTGTTTTTTTTATAGCATGCATCGGCAGATGTGGAGAAGATGATACTAGGAAATAAATGTGACATGGAAGACAGGAGAACAGTGACTAAGGAAAGGGGAGAACAGGTCAGTTATTGGACTGCTTTTTTTTTTTTAAATAGTTTTTTTGTGCCAGGCGACAGTTCCGGACTTTTTTGTATGTGCATATTAAAAGTGCTAGTGCTGACACATAGTGCATTCTTTCCACAGAAGTCATACTCATGTTTGGGACTACATGACAGGGCTGTGTGGCCTACTCTCTATCAAATGACAATTTAATGCACTACCCTGGCGTCAACCAGGCTCGGTCGAACACAAGTACCTGTGGACCTTAACCAAGGTTCCCTCAAAGTCGCATTCGTTAGTGAATGAATCTCGGCCAGTGGAATTGGCCTTCCCATTGAGTCTGTGGCACACTCACCCAGGGTATGGGTCGACCCTTTGATGTTCAGCCTAATGTAGGATTCAAACTTGGGTCTACGGGTCATGACTGCTAAATAGTTACCATATTTGCTCTGTTAGGAGCACATCTCCATGATATTTTTGTGTGTACACCTATAGCAGATGATCATCTCACAGTGTTCACATGTACTGCCAGTTTATTAGTTTTGTCGTTTTCATATAAATTTAAGCCTAAATATAAGTCAAACCATTGATCCAAGAAGAAAAATTAAAGGTAGATTAAATTTTAGAGAACTTAAAAAAGCACAATTCTGTGATCTGTTGAGATTTCAGATGCTAATAAGTTATGCAAATCTGTTAAATAATCAGGTGGTCAGATTTACTGTGTATGAGTTTTTTCAGTACTGCTCAACAGCACTTGTTCTATCAATTAAAGCCTATAGTGGTGTTGAATCATAGATCTAAGACAAATCTGACCTAAATAAACCCAAATAAAACACAATTCTGTGATCAGACACAGTTTTAGAAGCCAATAAATGATGAAAATCTGCTAAATTAGGTACTGTAAAATGACTAATTTTCACTGGGTTTAAATTTCACTGATTTACAATTTCAGGCATATTCAGTAGGTTTAAATTCACGGTTTTATCATTTAGATAATGTGTTCCATGCTAAATTTTACATACTCACTGGGTTTTAATTTAGCACATTTTCCAGTCAGGGCGAAGCACAAAAGGGAGTCTTTGCAGTTACCCTGTCTGTATGTATGTATGTATGTATGTATGTATGTATGTATGTATGTATGTATGTCACTTTTTTTGTTCCACCGTTATCTCAAAAACCACTAATCAAATTTTGGTGAAACTTGGTACATAGATGCTCTGGGATAATGTGCAGAGTTGATTAGGTTTTGGTAAAAATTCATGAATATTAATTACCTAATTTGCATGATAATTAGCTGATTTTTAGCTGTTCCATGACTGTTCCACTGATATCTGAAGAACCACTCATTGGATTTTGATGAAACTTGGCACATGGATGCTCTGAACTAGTGCGCAGATTTGATTAGTTTTGGGTAAAAACCTGTTTATATTAATTACCTAATTTGCATAATGATTAATCAATTTCCGGCTTTGAATTCCACTGATATCTCAAGTCCTAATCATCACATTTCAATTAAACTTACAAAGATGTCATATGACACTGCCCAGACCTGATAGTTTTTAGGGTAATATCAGTACATATTAATTACCTAATTTGCATAATTAATT